TTTTCACCCACTGAGCCACCCAAGAAGCACAACTTAGTTATGTAAATGATCAAAGCCTTCCTCTGATTCCCCTCACCTTTCCAGGACCTCTGTGGCCAAGCTCCTATTTTAAAAAGGGATTACATGTGAAAATTGCTTGTTTACTTTATTTCCTCACTCAAGTTAATGTAAACATACTTCCATTTCCTGCCAATTACAATTCATCGACAATACGAGTTTAATTGTAAGCATTTTCATTTTGGAGCTATACACTGCAGCTTCTTAACTGCAGCATATGAGACATCTGTGCTGGATAATTCTTTGTTGTGGGCGGTTGTCACGGGCTTTGCAGTTTTAGTAGCAGCCCTGATCTCTGCTTCCTAGACACACACCCTCCACCGTGTTCCGTGACAATGTCTGGTTGTCCGGTTTGGACAATGTCTCCAGACACTGCCAAATGTTCCACTGGGGCAAAGTCACCCAGAGATTGAGAGTCACTGATATAGGCCAACTATTAAACCTTTTAATCAATGAAGACAGGGCAGACAGAAGCATTATTTCTCTCTTGGGTATCTAAAGGAAAAAATTTTTAAAAAGAACATAGCTTTTAGTCTCTATTCTTTCATCTGTTCCTAAGACATTTTTATAAATATTTTCTGGGCAAATTTTCTTGGATCAATCCATTGCTATCTGTTCACTTGACCAATGCTTTACACAAATAACAGTACACCAAATCTATTTTATACACAGGATCTTAATTTCCACAACAAGATGTGGTACTAAAAGCCAGAGGGTTGGGAAGCAGCAAGGTGTCAATAAAGAAAGATTTGGAGGAAGACAGGCCTGAGTTTCAGTTCTGGAAGCATTGTTCATTGGTTGTGAAAACTCAGGCCAGCTCTTCAGCTTATATGCCACTCAGTTTTCTCATCAGAAATGTGGAATTATTATCTTGGAGAAACACTGGATGAATTAAAATGAGGTGAGATGAATAACAATATATCTCACTTGTTGCTGCTGCTAAGTCATCTCAGTCGTGTCCAACTCTGTGCGACCCCATAGATGGCAGCCCACCAGGCTCCCCATCTCTGGGATTCTCCAGGCAAGAACACTGGAGTGGGTTGCCATTTCCTTCTCCAATGCATGAAAGGAAAAGTGAAAGTGAAGTCGCTTAGTCATGTCAGACTCTTAGCAACCCCGTGGACTACAGCCGACCAGGCTAATCCGTCCATGGGATTTTCCAGGTGAGAGTACTGGAGTGGGTTGCCATTGCCTTCTCCAGTATCTCACTTAACAGAGGCTTAATCACTGAGAACTTTTGAAATTAGAACACCTTGATGAAAGTGAAAGAGGAGAGTGAAAAATTTGGCTTAAAGCTCAACATTCAGAAAACTAAGATCATGGCATCTGATCCCATCACCTCATGGCAAATAGATAGGGAAACCATGGAAACAGTGTCAGACTTTATTTTTCTGGGCTCCAAAATCACTGCAGATGGTAAGTGCAGCCATGAAATTAAAAGACTCTTACTCCTTGGAAGGAAAGTTATGACCAACCTAGATAGCATATTAAAAAGCAGAGACATTACTTTGCCAATAAAGGTCCATCTAGTCAAGGCTATGGTTTTTCCAGTGGTCATGTATGGATGTAGAGTTGGACTGTGCAGAAAGCTGAGCACCAAAGAATTGATGCTTTTGAACTGTGGTGTTGGAGAAGACTCTTGAGAGTCCCTTGGACTGCAAGGAGATCCAACCAGTCCATCCTAAAGGAGATCAGCCCTGGGTGTTCACTGGAGGGACTGATGCTGAAGCTGAAACTCCAGTGCTTCAGCCACCTGATGCGAAGAACTGACTCACTGGAAAAGACCCTGATGCTGGGAGGGATTGGGGGCAGGAGGAAAAGGGGACGACAGAGGATGAGATGGCTGGATGGCATCACCGACTTGATGGACATGGGTTTGGGTGGACTCCGGGAGTTGGTGATGGACAGGGAGGCCTGGCGTGCTGCGGTTCATGGGATTGCAGAGTCGGACACGACTGAGCGACTGAACTGAACTGAACTGAAGACCAGAGCTTCCTGGAGACTCCACGGCCGTACACTGAGGCAGCTTTCTCAATAGCATCACTTTTTGCCCCATTCTGGTTAGAGACCTCTTTAAGATCTGATTCTTTCCTTATTTAGCACCACCTACCTAAGAATGGCTTCCCAGGTGGCTCAGTGGTAAAGAATCTGCCTGCCAATGCAGGAGACACAGGAGGTGCAGATTCGATCCCTAGGTCAGGAAGATCCCTTGCAGGAGGGCAAAAATACTCCAGTATTTTTACCTGGAGAGCTACATGGATAGAGGAGCCTGGCGGGCTATGGTATATGGGCTGCAAAGAGACAGACACGACTAAGCAACTGTGCGACATGCACCTAAAGAATAGCTCTTTGTCCACTATCCTAACCACGTGTAAAACAAGCTCCACTGTCCTTGGCATTCATTCGGTGCACAGTTGTATTTAATTCCGTTGCTATCCTACTCTCCAAAACAACTATTTTATGTCATCTTCTCTTTCCTTCACCCTCCAATGCCTCCTCTTCCAGTCACAGATTTCCTGGTCTCCTCTCTTCCTGGGATGGTAAGATTGCATCTCACAGGTCTCTTCCTTTGAAGCTACCATGGTAGTGTTACTTATTTTGGCCAAGGATATATAGAATAAAGGTCAGATATCATTTCCAGAGACAGGCTTTAAGAGGCAGGATGCCACTCTTCCCTTTTTCAGTTTCAGTAACAGAGAAGAACAGCGAGTCACCCTGCTCCCTGGCTGAGATTAGAGCAACATCCCCTAGTTGACCAACAACAGGCATTTAGCCTGACAGAGAAATGCCATGTTAAACTCCTCAGACACAGCGTTTGCATGTTACTACAACATAACCTAGTTAAGACTTCACTTCCTATTTCAGTAAGAAAATAGAAACAATCAGAAGGCAACTCCACAATCTCTCATGACCACAAATGCCATTAATTAGTCACCATTTATTCTCCCTTCCTCCTGTATTATGGATGAATGCTCCTGAGATCAATCTTTTGTCTTGTACCCTAGACTGTATGCTCCTATATCTACTCGAGGCCATCATTCCAGCATTTCTTTCCTTTGTTTCTTATATCATCAATTTTTCCCTTTCTACTAGGTCACCTCCATCAGTAAATAAGAATACTAATATAATACCCCCATCTTCTGGAAAAAAAAAAAAAAGAAAGAAATGTCCTCTTAAATGCCCCATTCATTTAAGAGTTGCAGTATTCACTCTTGTTCTCTCTGGAACCATTTCCAGGTAGGGTCCTGCTTATCCCAATCAACTAAATCTGCTCTTGTCAAGGTCAGCAGTGACACTGAATTTGCTAAATCTAGTAGTCAAATCTCAGTCCTTATCTGATATAATGCTGACTTCGTTGATCACATTCCTTCCTGCTTGAAATAGTTTCTTCATTTGGCCTTTAGGACACAACTGTCTCTTAGTCTTCTATCTATTTCACTGGTCTCCCAAACTCTAAATGTTGGTTTGTCTGAGACCTGAGGCTTCAGACATCCTTTCTTCTTCATCCACACTTTTCCACCACATAGTCTCATCCAGTTTCTTGGTTTTACAAACCATCCTATGCTGCTGACACAAAGTTGTTACCTTTCCCCTGATTTTTAGATTTACACCTCTACTAAGATCTCTGATTGGTATCTCAACATGTCCTAAACTAAACTGCTGCTTCCTACCCTTCCCACAACCTACTCTTACAGTTTTCTCCAGCTCAGTATATAGCAACTCCATCCTTTTGGTTGGTCAGGTCAAAATTTGTGAAGTCATCCTTGATTCCTCTCTTTCTCTGATACCCCATGTCCAATCTGTCACAAACCCTGTTAGTCCTATCTTTATATTACACCCCAAATTCAACATCTCACCACCTCCACTACTAGAATCCTGGACTAAGCCAAAATCATCTCCCCAAAGAATTAATTCAATAGACTCCTAACTGGTCTACTTCCTTCTCCCTATAGTGTCTATTTTCTAGGCTACCCTCTCTCATCCAGTCCTTCAGTATGCACGTCACTAGTGGCTCAGATGGTGAAGAATCTGCCTGCAAAGCAGAAGACCTGAGTTCGGATCCTCTGAAGAAGGGAATGGCTACCCACTCCAGTATTCTTCCCTGGAGAATGCCATGGACACAGGAGCCTGGCGGGCTACAGTCCACGGGGTCACACACAGTCGGACATGACTGAGTGAGTAACACTAAATGCCTTTAAAACCTGGCACCCTTGGTTGTTGACAGAATTAAGACAGACAGTTGAGACAGGCCCTGAACAACTTTTCGGGGTAGGGGATTCTTTATCACTTGCGGTGTCAGGGAGGTTGTGATTTCATCACGGGATTGTTCTCACTCCCTGGCCATTTATCCTCACCTCCTAGTCCTCTAGTTATGTCTAGCATCCAATCCTTCCAGTACTCTTTTCACTCCTAATTAATGTCCCCCGCCAACCCATTTTCCTTGTGCGCCCGTTAAAAATGTTTATAGATTGCTCGCTTGGAGGTAGAGTCTATCTCTTCCTCTAGTCCAGAGGCAAGATTTTGGTGCATTATGACATAACCCTCCCTCCTCCTCCACGCCACTCACTCTGCCCCTCCCCAAGGAACTGCAAGCCCTTCCAAAGTTCGAGGGAGTGCAGCTGTGCAGAGTTTAGCAAACAAGTAACGCATACCTAGATGCTCCAAGTACAGAGTCTCTGACGTGGGTGGTGCAATGTTCAACAGCTGCCACCTGGGCCATAAAGGCGGAACTCCGGATAGAAGGGTTGAGGAAAACCTGAGACAGAGACCTAGAAAGACGCAGAGGAGAAGAAGGGGGAGGGAGGAGCTTCAGGGGGCGGAGCTTCGGGGAGGAGCTTCAGGGGCGGAGCTTCGGGCAGGGGCTTCAGGGGGAGGAGCTTCGGGGGCGGAGCTTCGAGCGGCGGTCTCGCGGCAGGCTAGGACCTGTTGGGATCCGCTGCCGCATGGCTTCGGCCTCACCCGCTGTGACCATGTCGGGCCACGGGGCCCGGAACCTGCTGCAGTTCCTGCGGCTGGTGGGGCAGCTCAAGGTGAGCGGGCGCCGGGAGGGCTGTCTGAGGTCGCGGCTGCGCGGAGAGAGGCCGGGGTCGGCCGCCGGGCGACCGGGCTTCCGGTCCCCGCCCGGCCGGAGGCCTGCCCCCTTCCTCAGTTCTCCGCGCCTCGTGGGGCCTGCAGAGGGAAGCCGTTCCAGAGGGATGCGGTTGTGCGTGAGAATCGCGGACGGAGGAGGCAAGTGGCGGGGTTGCTGGGCCCCACCCCAGACCGGGCAGAGTCCGAGCCGCACTGGACCCCAGTGTCGGCCTGGCGCTTGGAGGGGCCCGGCCCCGGCGGCTTCGCGAGAGGTTTCTGAAGGGGAGCCGGCGAGGTGATGTGTGGATCTCCAGGCTCGAGTCTGCCCCGAGTACATAGGAGGCTCATGACCCCACAACTGGGCTAATGGGAAGAACAGAACCCATTGATCCTGCAGGATTTGAGTGCTTAACATCTTTTGTGTTTTTTTCAAGGAAGGATATTTTGTAGTCCACACTGAAGTTATATCCGAGGGGATCCTCCTTCCATCCCCCGCCCCCATCCTGGCCGCACCCAATAATGGTTTTGTGGAGTTGCTCCAAGCTCAGAGCGGATTGTTTCGTTCCACTGTTACTATAGTATATAAACTTTAGACATGTCAAATCCCAAGGAGAAAAGACAGTCTCTCAGGATCACAGGGTATGACTGGCGGTAGTGTGAAGGAATTAGAAATGCCTTATTTAACCCTTTCTGCTTCAGAATTTGGAAGTCTGTCACTTGTTCAAGTTCAGTGCTTTCACTTTTATGTCTAAGGACTTGTGTATGTTCTGTACATGCAAACATAAGTAACACGGTTGGACTTACAGGTTGTATGTGTGTGTATAAGTCACTCAGTCGTGTCTGACTCTTTGTGACCCTGTGAACTATAGCTGGCCAGGCTCCTCTGTTCATGGAATTCTCCAGGCAAGAATACTGGAGTGGGTAGCCATTCCCTTCTCCTGGGATCTTCCCAACCAGGGATTGAACCCAAATCTCCTGCATTGCCCACAGATTGTTTACCATCTGAACCACCGGAAAGCCCTTCTATGCTGTGTATCTGTGGCTTATTCTTCCCTCTCACTTTATCATTCTCTGACCTCACTCGTTTATTTGATTCCAGATGTTTCTCCGTAAGTTGGTTAAACATTTTTTAATATGTACTGACACTATGGCCCAGTGCTCTATTCCCTGGACTTCTCTTAAAGAGCATAGCAGATAGTTAAAACATGTATTCTTATCAATTTCCTTCTGTTCATTTTTATCAGAGAGTCCCACGGACTGGCTGGGTATACAGAAATGTCCAGAAGCCAGAGAGCGTATCAGATCACATGTACAGGATGGCAGTTATGGCTCTGGTGACCAAAGATGAATGTCTTAACAAAGACCGGTAAGCTGTGAACTCTGGTGTCAGTTAGGGTCTCTGATCCATGGAAGTGCGTGACTCTTCACGTGTGAGGCCTGTGTCCAATTCTTCTAGGTTAGTTTATAGTCAAGAAAAATTGTTTGAGGCAAACCATACAGATTCAGGGTGTGGGCAGGGGGACTGTGTGCTGCAGTTGTAAACTGCACTCTGGGTTTTCTCTTGGCAAGTGAAAGAGTCTGCCTTGGTCTCAGGGAAACATAAGTGTGATTTGAGGGTTTTCCAGGGCCTTGAAGGTAAGTGTTTTATGTCTAAAATCGGATCCAGACACTATGTATTTTATTTAGCCCCTTTTCTGAATAGCAGCACTCTTTCGTGAAGTGACTCTTTGAAGTGGTGTTTGCAGGAAAGAACTGAGAAAGAGATATCCTGTCCCCTTAAGTCAACCAACAAGTGTTTAAAATGCTTTTTGAGCACAGGACAAAGTTTTCTAGCCAAACAGTATGAGGTAGTAAATAAAACCCAGATGGAGTACATGGGCCCAGAGTGGCTTCTATACAAAGCACAAAATAAGTCATATTAGAAAACTACTCTTAACAGGAGAAATCACCTGCTCTTGGGTGATCTTATTGGAGGGGGCAGAATCTGAGTTGACCTCCAAAGGGTTGATTAGGTATAGAAGTAGAAGACACAGCACATAAAGAGAAAGGCATGGAGACCAAATCTCTGATGATAGGGAAGTAAAGGTATGTTTTGGAAATGATAAGTCAGTCCATCCAACTGAAGCAGAGGTTCATCTGGGAGTCTCAGGAGCCCTGTTAAGGAGATTTTTGGCACATGGTACAAGATGAACATGGTGTCGAATGGAGATGTATAAGATGAACATGGTGTCGAATGGAGATGAACTTACGCATAGGCCACAATTTGAGCTAGATGAGAAAGCAGCTGCAGGCAGGGACACCTGCGAGTTCTTGTTCTGCTTTGTTGATGCTGGGAACATAAAGCAGACTGGCCCTCTGGGGCATTTATCTCATGAGCTGCCTTTGTTATCTTGATAACGATTATCCTAATCACTGATCGTTACCACTAACAATTATAGTCATTTGTTGAATGATCAACATGTTCCAGGAACATAAAGTAGTGAATTTAATTTTCATACCAAACTTAGGAAGTATTATTACCCCTTTCTTACAGATAATAAAATGAAGGCTGCAAAACTTAGCATTTAAGGAAATTAAGTGCCTTTGGCAAAGGGCATGCAGCTAATAGATGTTAATTACTGGATTCAAACTCAGATTTGTCCAGCTCTACCTGTTTATAAAGGGCTTCATTTTGACATCTAACTAGTACATTTGGAAAATGATTTTTTTTTTAAGTGCTATATCGGTAAGTAAATGCCATAACCAGGTCACCTTCTTCTGGCTTTTTAATCTAAAGTTATCAGCCTTTTAAAGTGGTATTTAAGAGGCCAGCTTTTTTTTTAAATTCATACTAAGAACTTCCCTTGCTTCTCATGTTTTTGTGCTGATTATTAACTAGCAGTTTTGATTCAGATCTGTTGTAGGCTGGCAAAATATAATTACCTTTAGAAAATACTGCAGTAAAATTCTCTGTGAGGCTGGAGGAAAAAAAACTATATTATGTAACTTAAAGTAACTTAAAGTAGTATAGAGAAGGAGTCTGTAGTGAGTATAATTCTGTGTAATTATTTCTTGCCTGGTCAGATGTGTACGCCTAGCCCTGGTTCATGATATGGCAGAATGCATCGTTGGGGACATAGCGCCAGCAGATAACGTCCCCAAAGAAGAAAAACATAGGCGAGAAGAGGTCAGTGTTGACTGTTGACTCCACAAAAGAAAAACCCATTGCTGAAACAAAGGAAAACCAGAAAAACCCATTGCTGAAATGCAGCTAAGTTCACCAACCCTATTGCAGTAAGAGAGATTACCTCCTTGACAGAGTCTTAGTATCTTGGGAAGGAAGATCAGGGCCTAGGCCTGAGGATGTTTGGATGGATCTTACAAGAGTGGCTACTGTCTTACAAGATGAGATTGCCCAGAGTTTAAACATAAAAGCTTTAGGTTGGTAGGGCTGGTGAGGCAAGGTCTTAGCAAGGGTCTTAAAGAGCAAGCTGTTAGTGCTTACTCTACTTTGGATTGGTTTACAATCTTACCTTCAGAAGTAAGGATTTTGTGGAGTAAACAGTGAGTTGGTTTTTGCTTGTTCTAAGCCTTAACACAGGAACAGGACATTGTGTTGGTTTCATTTCTCACGGAGAGGCAGAAAAAGGGATCTGAACACAGGATATGTTTTATGGCTTTCATTCGAACCATGGAGATAGCTGGAATTTGAAGGCATTCTCCATGCCAGTTAAGCTCTTTGGTGAGAAGTTCTATAAAACCCAAGAATAATAAATATTATAGTTAGTATTTAGTAAGACAGGCCTGGTGGGCTACAGTACATGGGTTTGCAAAAGAGTCAGACACAAGTTACTGACTAAACAACAACAATAACAACAAATTTTAAACTAGTCTAATTTAGTGGTTAAAAATTTTAAAAATTTGTATTAGTAAGAAATCACATCAATTAAACAGGGTCTGCTGATTTGAAGTCTTAAAACCAGAGCCCAGAGACAAAGAGGAAGATGTATTTGAAGCAGAGATCGGAAAATTCAGGAAGGTTTTTTTTTTTTTTTTTAAAGCTGAGTGGATGGTTCCCAATTCAGGGATTGTTGCAAGCTGCTTTTCTTGTAAGCCAGAGGAATTGATCCTAAATGTCTTTAAGTCAACAGATCCTTCATCAAGATGGTTTAACAGGGAAGGTCCTTCTTGGGGGAAGGGTGTGGCCAGAGCTCAGTAGCCAACAGCATTTTTTCCCTTTTTGAGGCAAGAAGATCCACAGGGACTCTCAATTCAGGAGTTCCAACACACCATAAATGATGGGAACAAGGGAGATAGGGAATGTGGTCATCCTATAAATACAGGTCCAGAACACATAAGCATCAGTACAGTTTTTAAAAAGGGAGGAGCTAAGGAAATGTTTCTCTGTAGGAGTCTAGACTGTGGTGAACAAAGAATTCCTGGGTTGTTTGGTTGATACAAAAAGAAACCAGTTAGTTCAAAATACCAAGTTGCAGGGACTCTCCCGGTGGCGCAGTGATTTAAGACTCCACGCTCCCAAAGCAGGGAGCTTGGGTTTGATCCCTGGTCACGGAACTAGATCCCACATGTCACAGTGAAGCTCCCGTGTGCCGCAACTAAGACTGGGAACAGCCAAATAAATTAAAAAAAAAAAAAAAGATACTGAATTGCAGAAAGGAATTAGCCCCAAACCAGAGGATGCTGGGTGTTGACGAATGGCATAGAGGAAAAGACTCCTCAATTGTGTAACACGTTTTGGGATGTATGTAGTTTCATGCAAGGGGAATTTAGACATTGTGGAGGAGAAATCACAGGCTGAAGATCCATAGGGTGATCTGAAACCTTAAAGTGACCAGAGGAAGAAGACACTTCCCCTGTGGGCACCCAAGGAGTGTGAGGTTCACTCCACCGAGGAACGAGTCAGAACCTTCTGAAGAAGGAACAGTTCAGTAGGAGGGATCTCCAGTGCCTGGCGACAGAGTACCTCTGTCCTGATGGAGGCTGAGTCCTGGCTGGTGGCGCCCCCCCTGGAGGGGCATCGAGGGGACTTGCCACCCAGAGAGTGCTGGGTGCCATACCTGGGCAGTGATGAGAAGCCCTATCAGCCTCATTAAACCTCCTGGCTGCTGCCCACCCCGTCTGATTCACAGGAGAATAAATATCATCATCAGAAAGGACGTGGAAACATCTTTAAGAACCACAAGTTCTTGGACAAGAAACCAAAGGCTTGGGAAGCACTGATCCTTCATTGCTTCTTCCTCCGCTCATTAGGATTTGGGAACAGAGAGAAAGATGTGGGCGGTGAACAACTCCTTATGCAGATGGTGTTTAGGGATGAGGTTTGGATGTCTGAACCATGCCTTAAGATAATTAACTGAGGGTTTCTTGGCTCCTTGAAGTGAAAGACACATACTGGACCAGGAAGTGTCATTTGCCCAGAGGCTAGTCCACTGTATCCAGAGGTATCCAGAGGGCTTTAAACCCAAGTAAGAGGGAAGGAAAATATTTGATAACCCTGGAAAGCTGATTGTCTCAGAGGAAAGTAGGTAGTAAGATAAAAGAGAAAATGAGGGTATAGAAGAGAAAATTTAGAGGGTAGGGGCAAAAACAATGCTTGTAGGCTGACTCCCCTCCTAAACACACTTTACGTTATAAACCAAGATGGTAAATGATGCCTCGTAGGGATCATTAAGAACTAGTGGAATGGAGCTTGAGGCTGGAATACAGCAATAACAGGTTATTATATTCTTTTGCAAAGGGAAAAGTTACTAAGAGAACAGAGTCATGATACATATGTATATACATACCTGACAGTTAAAGTTGCTGAAGAACTAGAGGTTAACAGGGGAAGAACCATTTATTATGGGAGTGAACATGGCGAGATGGAGAAAGTGAAACATAGAGTGAGTATTTTATAGACTCCTTACCCTGTTCCAGATAATAAGTATATATAGTGATTATTTCATTCTCACAGCAACCCCTTCAGGTAGGTACCCCTATTTACCTCATTTTATAGATGAGAAACCTGAAAGACAAAGATGTATGTTGCTCAGGATTCCACAGCTAGTAAATGGCAAGCTGGGTTTCAGACCACATCTCAGTCTATAGTTTGTCATTAGCTCTTGCACTATGCAGCGTCACCAGTGATGTGTGAGTGATGAATACTGCTTTCTGGGTGCTTAACGTTTCATTCAGCTCAGAATTTCAGGCAAATTCTTGACATGCTTTGCTAATAGGAAGAAGCGAGGGAAATTATCACTAAATCTATGTGTGAACAAGGCAAAACTCAGTTTAGAAGCGGGAGTGGCAGGGCTCGCAATCAAGAAGGGAAAGTCTGGTATCTTCAGACCCTTGTCCTAGACTTCAGTGAAGTCAATTTCAGAGGGTCTTTTAAAAAGGGCCTGATTCTGTGGCTGCTGCTGCTAAGTCGCTTCAGTCGTGTCCAACTCTGTGCCACCGCATAGACTGCAGCCCACCAGGCTCCCCTGTCCCTGGGATTCTCCAGGCAAGAATACTGGATTCTGTGGCACAGGCTGCCAAACAAGGAATAACAGCTAAGAGGTCTCAAATGCAATCCTGATGTATAATAACAAATGGTGTCAATGAGTTTAGATCCAGAAAAATCATTGCTTGGCTTCAGAAAGAGAGCAAAATATATTTGTTATGTTTTGTTTTTTAAAGAACATTGTGATTTTAGTCAACAGGAAACTTATTAATAAGTCATATGTGATTTCCAACTCAATCTTGGGCTCCACTTATAGAGCATTTACCATGATGGACACTTTGGTTCCATTGTGTTTTGACTGGGTCAGACCACCCATCAATCACTATATTCAGTGCTGGGTGTATCACTTTAAAGGGAATAAAATAATTCCTTGTCAGAGCAGGATGTTTAAGTTTGTATTTGAAGAGTTTCGATTTTAATATGTCTCTGTACATATATGTTATTCAGTTCACTCCTTTCAAACAAAAGCAGTGGGCAAATGTTTCTATAATAGTGGAGAGAAAAGTAATCTATTTGTAGAGACATTTTTAATTTTTGAAAATGCAGGGCTTTTCTCAAGTATTTTGCTGAGACTTATAAAAAAGAAACAAGGGAGAATACAAGTACAAAATACCCAAAATTTCATACCACTAAGGGTGGTATGCTACAAGCCATTCAAGATGACAACGCTACTTACATGAGCAGACCATTGACACTGGCCTGTATGGTTTGCTCTGGAAGTGGTTGCGCTCTATAACTTTTTTTTCCTCCCCGTTATAGTTATATATAAAATACTCACTTTTATTTTTATTGCTTTTTACCATTTCACCATTTGATTTTAGTAAGACCTTGCCCCTTTTATATAAGCATTTTGCCAAAAATGTTTCTTAAAACAGTATTCTTTTCAGGGAGCCTAAGCTCTGGCCAAATAAACTGGAGCAGATTAAGAGGTGGAGGATGATGATAGGAGGAGAGTGAAGGAGTTGGAAGCCATTTGAGAGCAGGTTGCAGACCTCATGCCCCCAAAATGGGATATTTGAGAATTTTGGAGCAACAGAGAAATGAAGGAGGAGATGGAATAAGAGGGGCTCTTGGGACTTTGGAGATCAGAAATATGTACTGAACACCCTCCGTGCTCTCACTGTCTGGCTCTCTGAACTCTACTCCAGGGCTTCTCTCCCTCCATCTCCTCATGCAGCTGGTCCCTGAGTGGCTGGCTAGAGTTACATGCCCATCCCTTGAACCAGTCACTGGCCACAGAGATTCTAGGCTGCTGGGTTACCGCCCACCTGATTTGACATTGTGTTTTTGTGAGGGAGGAAGACAGGAGGGGTAGGGTTAGGCATAGTGGAAGAACTTGCAGGGACAATTTTCGGCTTGATGTGAGACATTGGTACTTCCTACTAATGCTGCCTAAAGTCCGTTTGAGCAGCCTCTTGGGGTGCTAGGTTCCCACCCTGAGGCATGTGTGTGGAGGGAGGACTCCAGTTCCAGTGATGCTGCCGGAGGGTTTGGCGCACATGGATGGTTTGGCTCAGCACCCTGTAACATCTCTTTTCAGCCTGTGAGTCTGTGAGCCTAGCAAAATGCTGTCTTGTGATTTCCTTTATGTTAGTGACAATGGTGGCCCATTTGTGTAGTGCTTTACATTTTGCAAATAAAAACATTAACAATAGAAAGGGAACATAATGGTATACCAAAAGTTTATTTGAGCTTCGTAATTCACTGATACTTGCCTGTTTTCCCCACAGTCAGATTTGTTTTGAACTATAGTACTTAACTGTTGAGGGCTTCCCCAGCGGCTCAGCAGTAAAGAATCTGCCTGCAGTGCAGGAGATTCAAGAGATGAGGATTTGATCCCTGAGTTGGGAAGATCCCCTGGAGAAGGGTATGGCATCCCACTCCAGAATTCTTGTCTAGAGGATCCCATGGACAGGGGAGCCTGGTGGGCTACAGTCCATCAGGTCACAGAGAGCCTAATACAGCTGAAACGACTGAGCACGCACTTACGGCTGAAATTCACATGCAGTTGGGACTCATCCACAAGATCTAAAGTCTTTGGCGTCACTTCTGGTCTTTCTATAATCATCTCACACCCTGCTCATTGCCTTTGATTATGTCTGGTGTGCTGCAGGCCACAACATAAGTGCTCCTGAGTAAATACATATAAACAATGACTTATAAATAAATAAACTTATTTATTTAATGTACACAGCTGACCTCCTGGTTAGCCTAAATCTTCTCCAATATTCTGCTGCCCCTTTGGGAGTTATTTGGAAGAGTGTGAGTCCATTATTTGGCATTTGTAGATGAGTTGTTAACTAACAAGTGTGAACATGATTAAAATAACTTCGAACTTTCAGGAAGCAATGAAGCAGCTAACCCAGCTCCTCCCCAAGGATCTCCAGAAGGAGCTCTATGAACTTTGGGAAGTAAGTGTATACACTGGGTTTCTTTTTATTGTAATTGACTTTATGTGGCTGGTCAGTGTTTTAGTTGCCTTAGACTATCTTACATGCTGTGTCTAACGTACCTGCTTTCTGGGTTGCGTGTTTCTCACCTCCCAGCTGCTGTAGGTGACCGTCAGGGCTGATAGAAATGTTTCTTCCTTCCACGTTCTGCATTTCCCTTCTCACCATAGTGCCTGGTACAAATACTGACTCAGAGCCCCTTGAATTTCCTGATGCGTTGCTCTCATCCTCCACCCTGCCAGCCTCACACCCACCCACCCACCCACCCACCTCTGGTCCTCGAGAGAAACGTGGGCTTTGGCGTTGTTCAGAGCTGGGTTCCCACCTCACTGCTTCCTGGCTCAGTGACAATGGGCTCATTCGCCTCCCTGAGTCAGCTGCCCGTCTGTGAAACCCGCGGGGGTTGTTAGGGTTGCCTGAGGTCAAGGGCAGAGGTGCCGAGGAGCCCAGCACAGAATGTGGGCCCTGTCGGGGCTCAGTGCCTCCCTGGTGCTGCTGATAGCAGAGACTGCTGAGGCAGGTGGCTCCAGGGAAGGGGCATGCCTCGTGCTCCTGTTGTCCGCCTCCCGGTGGGAAGGTAAACTAACATCCCTGCCTCGGGCAGTTTCTCACTTCCCTTCAGCCACCTCTTCCCCACCTTCCTTGCTTGAGCCCCTGGCCCCTCCTCACTCTGGGGTAGCCCTGCCTCATAGTTCTGGAGGCTGGAAGCCCAGATCGTGGTATGGGCAGGGTTGCATTCCTTGAGGGCTCTAGGGGAAGATTCCCTCCTTGCCTCTCCCTGGCTTCTGGTGATGCCTCGTCCAGCTTTGGCAGCCTTGCCTCTAAACACATTTCTCCAGGCTCTGCCTGATAGTCAGATGTTGTTTCCCCTCCCCTCCACCCCATGTCTGTGCAGGCGTGCTGAGTCGCTTCAGTCGTATCCGACTCTTTGCAACCCTATGGGCTATAGCCCGCCAGGCTCCTCTGTCCAAGGGATTCTCCAGGCAAGAATACTGGAGTGGGTGGCCATGCTCTCCTCCAGGGGATCTTCCCGACCCAGGGATGGAAGCTGCCTGTGCCACCTCCCCACCCCCACCCCCCACCCTGTGTCTGTATCTGGGCCCAATTCCCTCTTGTAAGGATGTTGGTTATTAGATTAAGATCCATCCTAATCCACTATGACTCTTAATTTGATTACATCTGCAAAGACTGTTTCCAAATAGGATCACATTCATAGATTACAAGTAGATTTGAACTTTGTGGGAACACTATAAACAGAGAACAGCTCTCATATTACACATTTTAAAAATCATGTTTAGTATTAACACGTTGGCTTTGGTATGAGATTTCCAGGGTTCGAATTAGTGGTTCCTCTGTTTACTAGCTGTGTGATCTTGGGCAACTTACGGTACCTCTCTGTATGTCAATTTCCTCATCTACAGAATGACACTAATAATAGCATACCCGTATTGCAGGGTTGTATGACAATCAAATTAATTAGCTTGTTAAGCAGTTGGAAAGCTTCCCCGGTGGCTCAGTGGTAAAGAATCCACCTGCCAATGCAGGAGACACCGGTTCCATCTCTGGGTCAGGAAGATAGCCTGGAGAAGGAATTGACAACCCACTCCAGTATTCTTGCCTGGAGAATCCCATGGACAGAGGAGCCTGGTGGGCTACAGTCCATGGGGTTGCAAAGAGTCAGACATGAACTGAGCGTGCAAGCACTTCAGAAGGGCTCCCTATTCTGTGCTCCAAAGTACAAGGGTAGTTTTTCGGTGGGGAGTTTGATGCATAGCAACATGAGGGTCCTGGGACCCAGAGGGAGGGTCACTGAGGTGGGGTGGCGTGACATGCAGAAGATTGACTTGTGTGTGCGCTGTGGTCAGGGCGGCCTTTCTCCGAGGGAGACAGGAAACCTTTGACCTTCTTCACCTTTCCTCCCTCTCTTCCCTTTGGTCCTCCATGTTGAAGACCTAGAACTTGTATATCTTTCCTGCCTGAAACCCTTACCCTTCTGTTGGTCTGCAAACCCGCACCAGAGCTGTATCTAATAAAAACCAAAAACCATCAGTGATTCACAACACATCACCCTGGCGAGAGAAAGCACAGCAGATTGATTATCTAGAGTGGAATTACAAATGAGAACCTGACACAGAAATCAGCTGGGGACACTTTGGTCTTAATAGAATGCTCTGTGGCCATAACTGGGACAATGGCTGTGTGACAGGTGTGCTCTAAGAGGCAGACTGCCTGTCGCTTCTCATTTCGGGTCTGCACTGAGGAGGGAGGGACAGTGGCACAAGGAAAGGTAAAGAAGCTGCTTCCTGCCCGCTGCCTTCACTGCCTCCCTGCCACCAACACGTGCACATACACGCAGCAGAGAGTTCTCAGACCCTGGCTGTATCCTCAACAGTCATAACCCAGAGGGATGTGATTAGCTCCTCTCTATTCTGAAAACAAGGACAGACCTTCCCAGTGTAGAGTGGAAACCAAAACTAAAGGAGCAAGCCAGAAACTCATTTCAAAAGGGAAAGGAAACCTGACATTAAACAGAGAGGGAACTAATTTGAGAAGCATAAAATGAAATATTTGTTGTTGTTTAGTTGCTCAGTCATGTCTGACTCTTCTGCAGCCCCATGGCCTGTAGCCCAGCAGGGTCCCCCGTCCATGGGTTTCTCCAGGCAAGAATACTGCTGTGGGTTGCCATGTCCTCCTGCAGAGGATTTTCCCAACCCAAGGATCGAACCCACAGCTCCATGTTTCCTGCGTAGCAGGCAGATTCTTTACTGCTGAGCTATCAGGGAAACCCCAGGATGAAATCTTAACCTGAAATTAATACTCATAATCTGGATTAAAGAATAATGATCTTGAAGACAAGTTACTAAAGAGGAACAAAAATGTTTGGACGTGCCCATGTGAACATGAGACTTCGCAGGCATCAGGTGAACTAGATAGAGCTGTGAGCACCCACACGGAACATGGGTGTTAAGCTGTCGAGTTGTGTGTGAATAGTCTCTCTGACGGTATTGTATACAGTGGAGAAATGTGGCCAGTGGAGAATGTGCTTTTAGCTGTGACTGATTTCAGGTACCAGATTTTCCTGGCCTAACCTATCAGGTGGGCCTCCCAGGTGGCCCAGTGGTAAAAAACGTGCCTGCCAATGCAGAAGAAGTAAGAGATGTGGGTTCAATCCCTGGGTCGGGAAGATCCCTTGGAAGAGGAAATGACAACCCACTCCAGTATTCTTGCCTGGGGAACCCCATGAACAGAGGAGCCTGGTGGACTGCATCCATAGGGTCACAAAGAGTCAGACACGACTGAAGCAACTTAGCACCCACACGTGCAGCCCTAATCATGCTACTTAAATTGTCCCTTTACTTAGGAATACGAGACCCAGTCTAGTGCAGAAGCCAAATTCGTGAAGCAGCTGGACCAGTGTGAGATGATTCTTCAGGCATCTGAGTATGAAGACCTTGAGAACAAGCCTGGGAGACTGCAGGACTTTTACGACTCCACAGCAGGTAGGCAGCGCTGATTTCAATAAGCACCATTTCAGTTTGGCTTAACTTGCTCCTAGTGTAATGACTAATAGTACCTTACGGAAGTCCATGGTTGTTCAACCCTCCTCTGACCCTTTGATATGGAGCATCTGAGAAGAAAATGATGAGATTCATGGTGTGAGGCTACCTAATGCAAGAGAGCCTTGCCGCCCTGGAGTCTGAGCGCCAGATTCACGTCACACATACTGGCTGTGTGCTCCTGGGCGGTCTCCTGACCTCTCTGTGTCCTTCCTGAAAAATGAAAATCATAGTACTCTACTCAATCTATAGGTTGGTTTTGAGATGTAAGAGAGATGATGAATATCAAAGTACTTTATGTCAGTGCTTAATAGAGGGAAGGTCATGTAAGGTGGAAATAGAGATTTAAAAAGAGAAGACTCCAGACAGCAAAGTCACCATTGTCTCTGTAGCCCTTCAGAGCACAGGCCTGTAACTGCTTGGGTTTGAATCCTGGTTCTGCCATGTTCAGCTTAGGTAACCTCCAGTAGATTACTTCACCTAGTTCTGGGTCTTCATTTCCTTATTCTTGGGGCTTCCTGTGTAACTCAGTCAGTAAAAGCATCTGCCTGCAATGTGGAAGACTTGGATTCAATTTCTGGGTGGGGAAAATCCCCTGGAGAAGGAAATGGCAACCCGCTCCAGTATGCTTGCTGGGAGAATCCCATGGACAGAAGAGCTTGGCACGCTATAGTTCATGGGATTGCAAGAGTTGGACATGACTTAGCGCTTTTCTTCTTTCTTCCTCATTTTTAAATTGAGGATGATTATAGAGTCTACTTTACAAGGTTGTTTGAGGACATGTGTGAAGAAGAATGCCTGGCAGTAAGCCTTGGCTGTCTTCCTTTCGCCACAACCTCTGCAGCGAGGAGCCGGGGCACTGACAGGGGTCTCCTGTTGCTCTTGTTGCTCCCTGGAGAAGAGCTCCAGCTCTCTTCCCTCGGAGTTCCCCAGGCTCAGCTGAACCTCCATCTCTCCTGAGAGAACTGTTAGAGGTGGCCTTGCTGTGACCTCTCCCGACCCTTTTGTGGCCCCATCATGTCCAGGAAAGTCCCAGCTCCAAAATAAGCTCCCAGAGCTGATTTGCATTATAATGGGGTGATTTGATTTTCCTTCTGTCTCTGCCCCAGGCAAGGCCCTCATTGTTTCTGTATGGATGGCTGTTATAACCACCTAATTTAATCTCCCAGGCCCGGGAGTTCACCCTGCACATCTGAGTGCTTTCCTCCTTTGTAGATCTAGATCTCATCACATCTTTGCTTTGTGGCTTTCCTCTTCCTTGATATTTCTTGTACTTCCCGGGTGGCGCAGTGGTAAAAGAATCCTCCTACCAGTGCAGGAGATGCAAGAGACACAGGTTCGATCCCTGGGTTGGGAAGATCCCCTGGAGTTAGGGAATGGCAACCCACTCCAGTATTTTTGCCTGGAAAATTCCATAAACAGAGAAGCCTGGCGGGCTGCAGTCCATGGGGCCACACAGAGTCAGACACAACTGAGCGTCTGAGCACAAACAGCTCTGCAGTCTCAGGCCGTTCAACTCTCTGGTTTCCTTTCTCAATCCTCTCGCTCACAGCTAAGTGTTCCTTCTTTTTGCTCAACCTGCACGTGGTCCAGAGCATGCCACCGTGATGTTGCAGTCTGACTTGCATTCTCCATTATGCTGTTCCTAGTTGGGTTTCTTCCCAAATCCCCATCTGTTCACCCCACCCTATGGTAAGCTGTTTGAGGGCCATTACCAGCTTTGTCTCCTCTGTCCTTGAAGTAAGTGATGCTCAAAATATTTGACTTCAGTTAAATAGAATAACACTGTAAACCAGGAGTCGGTCAACTATAACCCATGGGCCAAACTGGCCTGCTGGTTTGTGTAAATAAAGTTTTATTGAAACAGCCACACTCTTTATATATTGTCTCTACAGCTTTTGTGCTACGACCACAGAGTTGAGTAGTTGGCCACAAAGGCCAAATGGTTCACAAAGCCCATAATATTTACTGACTCCTCACAAAAAAGGTTTGCCAATCATGTTAGAAGCAGTGATCGGGTTCCCAGATAGCATCTTTTTCCCAATAAGGTCATAATCAGGTTTGTGTTGTGCTTTACATCTTAATTAACACTGTTATCCTCGGATGCATTCACAATGAAAAAAAATAGAAAATGAAACATGAGAATACTGATATAATCCAAAAATATGGGAGCTAGCTTAAGCTAGCTTAAGCTCCACATTTTACTGAACAAGATACTGAGCCTAGAAAGTGGGTAATGAGCCCACAGCTGAGTTTGAGATTAAACTTCACTGCAGTTTCTCCTCTGGTGCACTACTTCTAGTGAGCAGTGAATAAATATAAAAAGTGTAACCTATGTAAGAAGTGATTTCTCACCATTTTGCTTGCCCTGGCTTGGACAGGATGGTCATGGTGGAAAACATAAGAAGAGGTCAGATTCTGGATATATTTTGAGGGTAGAGTCAACAGGGTTTGTATATGGGGGTGTTTGTAAGAGGAGCCTGAGGATTTTGGACTTGCCACTAGATTGGGCTTTCGGCTCAGTCAGTAAAGAATCCGCCTGCAAGGCAGGGGACCTGATTTCCATCTCTGGGTTGGGAAGATCCCCTGGAGGAGGGCATGGCGACCTACTCCAGTATTCTTGCCTAGAGAATTCCACGGACAGAGGAGCCTGGTGGGCTAGAGTCCATGGGGTCCCAAAGAGTCGGACACAACTGAGGACTAAGCTCACACACACACTAGATGGGAAAGGTGGGAGAAAATCAGGGGTCCCAGAAGCCAAGGAAAGAAAGTTTCAAGAGGGCAGGAGTAGCCGTCAGATTGAGCAGCATGGAACTGACCGGTGTCCTTGGTAAGAGCAGTTTTGGTGGAATGGTGGTAAGTCTGAGGGCTAGCCTTTACACAGTGAGGCAGAGGGTGACCTGGAGACAACACAGAGCGTGGAGAACAGGCCCCGGCTTGGTGCTAAGAGCGGCATAAGACAGGAAACAGCCAGCAGTGGGGGAGCTACAGGGAAAGCTGCACCGCAGGACCGGCCAGGTGTCAGGTGGGGCAAGACAGCGAAGGGGACATGGAGCGAAGAGATGGCGCATGGGGAATAGATGGGACAGCGTTCACTGCGGAGTGAGGAGCAAGCAGCAAAAGGCGCTGGCAAGAGGAGACCGTCAGGGAGGAGACGGTGGGCTTAGCATCGCCCCTGCCAGCCACTGTCCACCTAAGAGAGCTCAGAGCTCGGTTACTGCCCAGGGCAGAAGACAGGAAAGACCAGCTGGTTTCAGGGTAAATGTTTGCATTCTTGCTTGCAAGCAAGGGGACAGCCTGGACCCACTGGTCTTCCTGCTAGTCTTTTCATAAGTAGGTGCTTGAAAGTGAAAGTGTTACTCAGTCCTGTCTGGTTCTTTATGATCCCACGGACTGTAGCCCGCCAGGCTCCTCTGTCCATGGGATTCTCCAGGCAAGAATACTGGAGTGGGTTGTCATTTCCTTCTCCAATGTAGGTGTTTGGTTCCCCACAACTGCAGATTCAGAATGGCCAGAGGCTGTTCTCAGATGTTCCCAGAGAGGGCTCCAACCTCCCCGAGTTTCCCTGGAGTTCCCAGTAAAGGTTGCTTGGTGCAGTTTTCCCCAGCTCTGCCTGAGCTGCAGTTCTTTTCCTAATTCTCATCTTTACTCTCCGTTGCATCTGGGGTGACAAAAAGTGAGTTCTGAGTGGTTGCCTTCAGCACCTCTCCAGGACCTGGGATTGTATCATCTGTGTTGGAGTGAAGTGTGGGTCAGATCACAGAACCGAGCCCCTGGCAAGCCCTAGGATCCAGCTGGAGAAATTGATGTATTCTCTTGTCATTATTTCTTCCCCCATTTTCTTGCCTTGCAGGAAAATTCAGTCACCCGGAGATAGTCCAGCTTGTTTCTGAACTTGAGGCAGAAAGAAATGCTAACATAGCCAGCGCCGCCAGTGAGCCACACTCCTGAGATGTTCCCTACGTTGCTGCACTCGTGGAGCAAACATTTCAGTTTTCTGTCTCTTGGTTTTGAGTTTCGCCACTGTTGGTCTGTTGATTTTCCCAGATGTGTTTATTTTCAATTGCCTGGACTCCAGCAAGAAACGTGATACAGTTTGGATAATAAAAGAAGCTACAGAATGTGGTCATGAAAATGTCATGGATGGAGACTTGGAGGCTGGTGGGGGGGGGGGCAGGGAGGGGGTTGAACTAAATAAAAATTTAAAATCTTAAGCTTTGGAATATTTATTGTTGATTCTAAATCATCGTATTCTGAGTTCATAACCTACGTCCCTGAAGGCCAGATTCATTGAATAATAGAAAATTTAATTATGATTGCTTTTAAGAAGATTCTTCAGCTGGCTTAGTGATAAGGATCTAGGGAAAACAAATTATTATAATGCATCCTCCTATCAATTGAAATGCTGCTTTATTCAAGTTCTGCAGCCCGATCTTTAATTCACTGTGACCTGCTTTAGGCCCCTGATCAGACTTGAAAACCTGGTCATGGTTGCCTCCCTGCAATCCTTTTTGTCATCTGGGGAGAGAAATCTGGGCAAGCAATCTCAAATGTTATTTGTCGGCCTCTGCTTTTCCCCTGGCTGGTTTATATTTTTCAGGCCTTGATTATATTTATCACCAGACAAGAAATACATAATAAGTTATTACTGGGTCATTGGACCTTATGGAGAGATCACGTCAGACCTGGCTTCCTCCCCTCAATTCCCTTTCACAGGATAAGTAATTTGCCCGCTTGCCTTTAAATGATGCACAGCCACTGAATGGGGAAGCAAGGATGGCTGTCCTTGCTGGCCAGCTCAGGAGTCTGGTGGAAGCATGATGCCTGTCCCTTTAATTCAGATGTCAGTTTCCATTTGAAGAAGGCCTGAAAAGGCTGGCATGGTGAGAATTCTTGGCAGCGTTTCTTTGGAAACTCTCTGCAGTATCCATGGATACCCAGTCTGCCGGAAGCAAGGTGCCGTGATCTCTTCAGAGACAAGAGACACGTGTGCATAGAGCCGATCTGCACTGCAAAGAGCCGTGCTGCTCTGCCCGGAAATGCTGTTGCATCATAGCCACACTATGTAGAAAGCAGTAAATGGTTGAAAGTCAATAAAGTCTGGTTATTACCGGAGATACGATTAGCAAAAAAACAGAACCATATCAGTATTTTGGAGTTTTTTTTTTCTCCTGGTGTGAAATCATGCACACAAAATGACCCGAGATAAAGTTCAGATATTTATAAGCAGAAGATGTTCTGTGACCCTGGAGTTTTATTGGGATGTTTGCCTGCTGTAATTTTCATAAATCCACACAGAGACTTTGGAAGTTTTTACTGGGTCAGACTTAATACTGGTCACAATCTCAGTTTTTCATTTACCTGCCACGTGAGGATTCACATTTACTCCTAAATCTTGCTTACTGGAATAATATATTTAAACATCGAGTTTGAAACAGTTGCTTTCAATGTCACATTATCACCATCTCCCTGTTACCAAGTGCAGGCTCACTCTGTTTGCAAAAAGATGGTCCAATAAATCTGAGACAAGGTGTTAAGGCAAGGAAGATGGCTTTATTCTCAAAGCTGGCTGACCTAGAAGATTTCAAGATAGCACCTCAAAATACCCATCCCAGGGCCTGGTTGCCAGGTTCCTTTATGGATCAGAGGTGGGGGAAGTGAGGAAATGAAGTAAAAAGACTATTCAGTCCTTGCAATTGTTTCTTAGAATGGCAAGCCTCAGGCCAGGGGATGTGTTAGTTTCACTTCCTTAACTTCTTCACAGGTAGGCAGCCTCGGGGTATCTCCCCAAGGCAGGTAATTATGTATGCCTATAATAAAAAAGTGGCAAAGTGTTAGTCAAGCCCAACTCATTGCAACCCTGATGGTCGCCTGCCAGGCCCCTCTGCCCATGGAATTCTCCAGGCAAGAATACTGGAGTGGGTTGCCTTGCCTTTCTCTAGGTGATCTTCCCTGACCAGAGGGATCAAACCCGGGTCTCCCACATTGCAGGGAGATTCTTTACCATTTGAGCCACCAGGAAAGCCCCAAAAGTGGCAAGATGAGGGTTAAAGTCACATAAGCAACATGAATTCAAAATTAACCCTTCCCAGATACATTCTTTCATTGCACCCACCCACACTCCAACTTGATAAAAAGTGAGAGGAGAGGGTTGGGCTTAAAGTTCACAACCTCATGCACCACTATACAGTGAAGTTCAACAACTTTCAGGCTGACATAATTTTGGAACAATGTATAGTGGCAGAACAGTCACTTAGATCCCCAGTGTTCTCTTCACATTGACTACTGTGAGTGGCGTGGCTTATCAGGAGTGTTCACAGTAAAGTATACAGTTGTTCTATTTTCCATGGTTCAAGAGCAGATTTATAAGAAATGTGTAATTTAGGGAAAATGCAGATTGTTTTGCTGACATGACTATCAATAGTCATAGTTGATGAGACACAAATTTAAGATAAAGGTATAGTGTGAATTTATGAATATTCTCCATCAAAACAACAGGATTTAATAAGTGATAAATGCTTAAATTACAGAATGGCTTACTTCAAAAGACCCCAATATTTTGTAATCACAATTCACAATGGAATTTTTGATCATTGAGATGTATTTTTGGCATCATACACATTGTAATATCATTTCGTATACTTGGTGCTGATCTAGCCTGAAGTTGTTTTGATTTGTTAGCCAAAGGTTATTTCTATTGTGTGCAAATACTATTCAGTACTGTGGAATACTTGAAACTACTGCATGTGAGCTGAGCCCAGCTGAACAAAATAGAGCAACTCAGCAGCTGGTCAAATTGGGATACACTTGCCCATCAAAGTCAGGGAGACACAGGCAGCTCCAGAGTCATTAGGCAGTGAGAAAATGAGACCTACCCACCAACAACTGTTTTAATTATTCTACTTGAGTGATGTGGTTTATTTATCACACATCTCATGGCAGAATGAAAAAAGACATCATGGCCATCATACCATTCCTCACTCGGAATAATTTTTTAAAAACAATTAATAGAGGTGATATGAATGTAGTTTTTATAAAACAGATCAAAATAGAATTTTTGAAGAATGATTTAAAATCAACAGCTAAGATATAGTTTATTTTAGCTTTGAGCATTAACACTAATTTTCTTGATTATTTTCCTAAACAATTTTCAATGCTGTGTTTTCAGATTGTAAGGTTGAGACTATTGTGTGTAGAAATGGGTTGCTGAATGAAGATATCTGTTTATAGCAAAGTAACTGCCTTTTCTAATACAATGCAGGGTGCTGAATGTGGCCACAAGAAGGTGGCGGTGAGTTTATGAGGTGACCAGGCCACTGTAGATTGGACAGACAGATCAAGGGCATGCCACAGAAGTGGGAAAGCAACACAGTCACAAGCCAGCTAGATGGGGTTTGGCTTCAGCCTGCAGACTGGAAGGCTAAGTTAGGGAGAATGCCAACACTTCGACTGGCAGAGCTCCTTTGTCCACATTCATCCACTCTGGTTCAAGTTTACATCCCCACACCTGTTGCTCCTGGAAGTCTAGGCCTCGGAGATTCTGTGTCCCTGAACCAGTTTGATTTTCAGTTAGGTATATGGATTATCCTGCTCCATTAATGTGAATAGAATTTTTTTAAGTTAGTTTTATTTCACTATGTCACAAATACCACTTCTATCTAAAGGAGATCAGTCCTGGGTGTCCATTGGAAGGACTGATGTTGAAGCTGAAACTCCAATACTTTGGCCACCTGATGCGAAGAGTTGACTCATTTGAAAAGACCCTGATGCTGGGAAAGATTGAGGGCAGGAGGAGAAGGGGACAGAGGATGAGCTGGTTGGATGGCATCACCCACTCAATGGACTTGGGTTTGGGTGGACTCTGGCAATTGGTGATGGACAGGGAGGCCTGGCGTGCTGTGGTTCACGGAGTTGCAAAGAGTTGGACACGACTGAGCGACTGAACTGAACTGATCCAATGAAGTTAAAAAATGAACAACAAATGTACTGTTATGCATATTATATGGATTATATATTATGTATAAATAATATATAGTTATGTGTTATATATATTATTATTATATATATTTAAATTTGGGAGGTTTTTTAGTTGGTAAGTCTGTTGTACATTCTGCAGTGTACGTTTTAAAAGTGTAGCTATGGGATGCTAGTGTCAGGTAGTTATAATAGGAAAAAGGAGTCCCAATGGTGGTGGCTAAAACACAAGGGAAGAGAAAAGCCCACAAGAACGGAACAGAAGAAAATCCATGGACTGGAGTGAGAACTTCAGGTGAAACAAACATACCATTCTTGGCTAGCCCAATTTGCATAGGGCAGGTACGGATAAATGAACAAAAGGAGGAAGCCAAGACAGATTGAGGCCTCTCCTTTTGGGTCAGCCCACCCTCAGGCCTCCAGGGTGTACTCTTCTTTGCTTGCCAAATAAAACTTTAGCTGTAACAGAGCTCTAACACTGGTCCACCATTTGAAATTTTTGCTGCAATGAGACAGAACCGAGGAAATCACGTACTTCCTACCTGCTACCTAATAACAAATTATGTTCCCATTGAGAAGAAAAAAGAAGTTTGTGATGTGGAAGGTAAACATTACTGTGGAAATCTGATTGTACTAATATGATGCTTTTTTTTTTATTATGTGAGCAGTTTGCAAACTAGAAAGGGTGACAGAACTCTGCTTCTGCCATTTTCTAGCAATTCCTTTTGCATCTATTTCTTGCCTACTTAACTCAGTAGTTACCTGAGTTAAACACTATTCTAGGTAGATTAGAGAGAATTTCAGAATTGGAGATTGTTTTAGCATCCTAAAGTAGCAGAGGTTATAATTACCTACATATCCTCTCTTATATTCTCCAGGTTAGCAGTAGAAGTTGATTTTAAAAAAGCACCAGCAGAATTACACTACCACCTATCAAGGTCATCAACAGCCCTGAAACATAAAGAAATTAAGGATTC